TTTTTTTTTATTAAATTACGTGGAAAATCCACGTGGCAAAATTGATGACATGCTAAATTTTTTTATTTTTAATTACTGATATACCCTTATCTTCTTCCCCGGCTTTTCCTTTCTCCGGCCTTTTTTTTTCTTTTACCTCCAGGCAAACCCAAGAGCCTAGGTTCGCAAAACCTAAAAGGCAGCCATAACCAACAAACAAAATGAACCAACTAGTGTTAATATGAAGGAGAAAAAGGTTCGCACCTAGAATTTTATTGGAGCTAACATCCCTAACAGAAGAAAACCGCTTCAAAGTTAAACACTTAGTAAAGCTTGGTGGGCCGTTCAGGGCATAGTACAAATCTTGAAGAGCTACAACTGTACAAGACAAAATCCAGGGAAAAAACTGTATGATTTAGGAAAAATCCAAATCCTTAAATCTTAATCTTAATTCTATCTTCTTCTTCTTTTTTTTTTCTTTTTTATTTTCAGGAAACCAAAATCCAAAATAGCAAGTGAATAGGTAGAACATAGAATCTTTTCTTTTCCTACGTATTCTTGGCATCCAAACAGAGCTTCAGAGCACATAAAACAGCGAAATTCATAACGATCACCAATTAAGTTACTCAAATAGCATCAATTTCCACATAAACACAATCAATCGCTGCTTGAACCTCTAGAAAATCCAATCCAAACGAAACAAAAGGTTCGCACCTCGCGAACCCAAGCTCCTGGGTACGAACCCAGGTTCTTGGGTGCGAACCCATGAGCTGGGTTCTCGAGGAACCCAAGCTCCTGGGTGCGAACCCGCGAGCTAGGTTCCTCGCGAACCCAACTCGTGGGTTCGCACCTCGCGAACCCAGGCTCTTGGGTGCAAACCCACGAGCTGGGTTTGCGAGGAACCCAAGCTCCTAGGTGTGAACCCGCGAGCTGGTCCAAGCTCCTGGGTGCGAACCCAAGCTCTTGGGTGCGAACCCACGAGCTGGGTTCACGAGGAACCCAAGCTCCTGGGTGTTAACCCGCGAGCTGGGTTCTTCGCGAACCCAGGTCTGGGTTCACCTAAGAGAAAAAGAAAAAGGAGAAAAAGAAAAAAAAGAAGAGGCCGGAGGAAGGAGAGAATGGGGAAGAAAGAAGAGGGTAAATTAGTAATTAAAGGAAAAAATTTTACCATGTCATCAATATTTGAGGGCAAATCAGTAATTAAAAGCAAAAAATTTAACCATGTCATCATTTTTCACTAGATGGATATTCCACGTAATTTAATAAAAAAAACAAAATGAGTTTTTCCGTTAATTAATGTGCCACATCAACCAAAATTTAACGGAATGACTAAAAA